CTTTTTCCTCTTTTTATTCATCCAGCCTATCACAACCCACACAGCTGATCCCCCACCCTCCTCCCGCAGGCTCGAGATGTTCCGGAAAGTGGCCAACCTGCGCGTGCTGGCCTGCGGCGGTGACGGAACGGTCGGCTGGGTGCTGTCCATCCTCGACCAGCTGAACTTCCAGCCCCCTCCCGCCGTCGCTGTCCTGCCCCTGGGAACCGGCAACGACTTGGCCCGCTCGCTGGGATGGGGCGGAGGGTGAGTGCCAAGGGAGAGAGATGGGGGGGGGAGAAGGGAGGGGGGGAGTGCTTAGGGAGAGAGGGGGGGAGAAGGGAGTGCTTAGGGGAGAGAGAGGGGGAGGGGGAGGGGGGTGCCAAGGGAAGAGAAGGGGAGGTCCAAGGGGAGAAGGGGGGGGGGGAGGGAGGTCCAAGGGGAAGAGAAGGGGGGAGGGGGAAAGGGAGGTCAAGGGAAAGAGAAGGGGGAGGGGGAAAGGAGTGCTTAGGGGAGAGGGGGGAGAAGGGGAGTGCTTAGGGGAGGAAGGGGAGAAGAGAGTGCTTACGGAGAGAGAGAGGGAGAAGGGAAGAGAGGGGGAGGGAGAAGGGAATATTTAGGGAGGGGAGGGAGGGAGTGCTTAGGGAAGAGGGAGGGAAGACGGGAGTAACAAGGGGAGAGAGGGGGAGAAGGGAGTGCCAAGGGAAAGGCGGGAGAAGAGAGTGCGTAGGGAAGGGGAGAAGGGAGTGCCAAGGGAGGGGGAGAAGGGAGTACCAAGGGGAAAGAGGAGGGAGAAAGGAGTGCGTAGGGAGAGTTGGGGGTGGGGGAGTGCCTTTGGGGGAGGGTGATGAGTGCCTCGGGAAGGGGGGATGGGGGATGCTCAGGGCCATGGACTCTGGAGACGAGAGATGGGATGGAGGGATATTGATGAGATGTACGCAGACAGGCCGCCAGGTACACACACATATATGCGTGTGTCTCTATATGTTTCTCTATGTATTTTATGTATATATAGGTTATATGTAGGTATAAGAATATTTATGTATGCATACATACATACATATATACATATATATAATATAAACCTATACACATATATACATATATACATATATACATATATACATATATATGTATATGTATATGTATATGTATATATATATATATATATATTATATATGTATGTATATGAATATGTATATGTATATGTAATGTATATATATTATATATATATTATATATATATATATATATATATATATATATATATATATATATATATATATATATATATAATATATGTATTATATATATATATATATATATATATATATATATATATATATATATATATATGTATATATGTATATATATATATATATATATATATATAATATATATATATATATATATATATAATATATATATAATATAATATGTATATGTATATATATATAATATATATATATATATGTGTTATATTATATATATATATATATATATATATATATATATATACACATACATATACATATACATACATGCATACATACAATCAAACATATACGTATATCTCTAAACTGTTATGGACTTTCTTACATGTGACATCAAGTAACTGAAAAGTTAGCTAAATAGGCGCTGGGTACGCAGCTGTTAGTGACGCATTTGTCTCTGTGAAAATATACGATTACATCATAATATAGATAATAAAGAAGTGGAAAATGATCCCCGCGTCAGCTGATCTTCCCATCCCGATCGTGCATTGCCGGGTACGAGGGGAAGCTCTCGGTATTTTCCCCTCTATGGCCCCGTAGGATCCGAGAGAGCGAGAGCGTGAAGCAGGAGACGACACGAGACAGCGTTCGCCTCGCGCCGCCGCCATGTCGCGTTTCCCGACCGCACTTGACGGCTCAAAGTGGCCGGGCAAGTGACGCGTGACTCGAATCTCGCTCCGGAGGGAACGCGGCGCGGGAGAGGCTCTGGCGGGGGAGTCCTGTCGCCCCGGGTGCTGCATTCAATTTGGTTTTGTACTGTAGGAGTGGGTTGGGTGTGACGCTGCGTGCACGGACACACACACACACACACGCAAGCACACACACACACACACACACAACACACACACCACACACCACACACACACACACACACACACACCACACACACACACACACACACACACACACACACACACAACACACACACACACACACACACAGATGGGACATTGTAATAAACGTTGACAGCAGCCCCTGGAATGTAAGAAGTGAAATTAAAATATGCTTTTGAAGGGAAAGAAATCAACTTAAAGCCGCTCCTTAACCTAGCTAATTCGAGGAACAGATCAGGCACTCGACACGCACCAAAGTGTATTTCTTACGATGTGAAGTTATTCCTTCTCATTCGTATGTGGGACCGTGTCGGCTTCTAATCCGAGGGGTCGGATTAGAGGCCATCCAGGCGCAAGAAGTTGCAGTTGTCGCCTGGAGGTTGCCGCTCTGGTTAGGCACCGCGGTGGGTAAGGAGCAAACTCTGTCGCGTCAACACTCGCTGACACACGTTAATCGGGTTGACATGAGTCGTGGCACAGGCCGGGCTCCCCTTATAGCCCGGGCGAGGCTCAGCTTCGCGTATGGAACTTATCCTTATTATATTTTTTTCTACATCCCTCACAATGACCTCGAAACAGGCGGACGTTTACAGTGAATACTTCATTGATAGATCATATCCACACACGAAGCCAAATAAGGAAGGAGATAAAAAGAGTATTGGAAGCCTTTTTCGCGCGGCATTTGATTCTGTGGAAATAGCAGCAGAATTATAAGAGCATTGCGTAAACAAGGAATTAAAGTTCCTTGTATTTATATAGTGAAAGATTTGTACATGGATGGAGTAGCAACCGTTGACCTTAATGCATAGAAGCCAATGCAATTCCAATGAAAGAGAAAATGAAGTAAAAAACGAGATAACTTGCATTGAAGTAATTTACTGATAGGAGTTATGAGGAATATTAGGAATTATTAGGAATATATGATATAGGAATCTGTTACATTAGAATATATTAGGAGGTTCTTTGTCACTGTGTCAGAATGGGAAGGTCTCTCCCCGACATGACACGAAAATCAGAAATTTGGTTACTTGAGAGAGAGGATTTGACGAATTTATAAGTAATCAAAGAGAAAAGGAAAGAATATTTGTGTATTTGGCCAAAGCGATAGAAAGGGGAAAATTAAACAGATCAGTGAACGGTCCAAAGTGGAAAATATACTTAATTACACCGAGAAGAAATGTCAGTGGACTTGTCATATTTTTAGAGCTAGGAAGACAGATAAGCATAAGATAATAGCAAGACCAGTAATTAGATAACGTTGATGATATGAGAAACTGAAATCAAAAAGAGGTTGCAACGATAGCTTGAATAGATAAGTTAAGGAGAGGCTAATGCTATACAGTGGCATGATACAGGCTTTTGATGATGATGATGATGATTATGATTATGATTATGATGATAGTCATGATTACGAAGAGGATAGTGATAATGATAATGATAGTGATGATTACGAGGATGATAGTGATAATGATAGTGATGAGAATGATGATGATATGTTAAACACTCACAGTATATACATGCAGTTATATGCAGATTCATCCGTTCATCATTACTAGCACCATTGTTTCATTAGATAATTACATCCTCCTTTGTTCTATGAAAATAAAAATAAAAAAACGTTCAAAACTAACGAGTTAAAAAGTGGGACAATCTTTTTTTTTCTTTTTTTTTATTATTTTCCCTCGCTGATTTATTTGCTCATCAATTATTCCTGTTCGTTGTAGATAATGTCCTTCTTTGCATGCTGTGATTAATGAGAAATCGCACCGCCAGAGACAATTATCATAAATTGTTTTTGATATCGCTTGATTAGGCGGAGGAAGCGGCGTCGAAACCTGTTTGGATGAGACTCGTTTATAAAAAAAGATGCATACTAATAAATAATAATAGTAACATCGATGATAATAATGATAATAATAATGAGAATGAGAATAATAATAATAACATTAGTAACAATAATGATAACATGAATGATAATAATAACATTAGTAACAATAATGATAACGTGAATTATAATAATAACATTAGTAACAATAATGATGATAATAATAATAATGATAATAATAATAATAGAAATAATGATAATAGGTTGAACTTTTTCAATTCTTCCTCTTCCGTCGATCGTGGAAAACGAACGTGGCAGAAGATGATAAAATGGGAATGGCATAAAAAGGGAAGAAGAGATAATAGAAAGATAAAGAATTATGATTAGAAGTAAAATAACTTTTTCAATTCTGCCTCTTTCGTCGATCGTTTGACATCGCGAAGAATTGTGGAAAACGAACGCGGCAGAAAATAATAAAATGGGAATGACATAAAAAAGGAAGAAAAGTCATATGAAAGATAAAAGAATAATAATTAAAAGTAAAATAAAAATAACAGAAAGACAAAAAAAAAGTAAATAGATAGAATATAACAACAAAGAGACAGAAACAAGAAATAAAATAGAAGATAACAGAGAAAAGAATAAAGATAAGAAAAGGGAAAATGGTATAGAAAATATATAAAAATGGCTGCGGGAGCACAGATCAACTTGTCTTCCAATGGATCTCCAATTAACTTCGTTACCGAGCAATCAATTTGATGTTCCAGAAATAAAACCCCAAAACTGATATTATCCCTTTTTTCTTTTTTTCTTTTTTTTTCTTCTAAATTTTCTTTCAGCTGACCTCCGTAAAACAGACGAAAAATAGTTTTTCTTTGTCTTGCTCATTTTTTTAATTCTTTTATTATTACTTTCCTGGGTGTAGAATCAATGTGAATTTTTTTTTTATCAATGTTTTATACTAGGAATGAAAGAAGGAAGGAAGAAGGAAAGAAAGAAAGGAAGGGAGAAGGAAAGAAAGAGGAAAAAGGGGAAGGGAGGAATAGAAAAAAATAGAAAGGAGGAAGGAACGAACGAAACTGATAGTTTATGGATAATAAAGAGGATTAAAGCGAAGAAAGGAAAGCGAAAAGGGAATAGGGGATTTTTTCTCTTTTCTTTCTTTCTTGATTTTTAAAATATTAAAGGGACTAAATATTTTCATGTGTTTTCACCTTGTGTTTTTTTCCTCTCTTTTCCTTATTTTTTTCTTTTTTTTAGATATTAAGGGGAGGCTAAATATTTTTGTTTTCTCTTTATTTCTTGTCATCTACATGTATATATATATATATATATATATATTTTTTTTTTTTTTTACCTTTTTGAATATGCAGATATGAATAATTTCCTCAAGGTTTTATAGATACAGAAATATAGTGAATAACTGATTTAATAACCCATTAGACATTCCAAAACAACGAAGCCAAATACATAAGGAACTCGTTAGGGAAAAATAAGATTAAGAATATCATTAGGGGAAAATAAGAAAAAAAACCTCATTAGACAAAATATAAGAAAATGAACTCAGGGAAAAAATAAGGAAAAAATATTTAAAAGAACTCATTAAGGTAAAAATATAAGGAAAAAAAAACTCAAAAGGGGAAAAAAACTAATTAAGGGAAAATAAGAGAACTCGCTAAGGAAAAAATAGAAAGAAAAAAAACTCACAAGGGAAAAAATGAGAAAAAAATAACTCATTAAGGGGAACTCAAGTTTTGGAAAACATAAGATAAAGATCTGGGAGGGGGGATCAGCAGGGAAAAGGTAAGATAAAGATCTCATTTTGGAAAAAAAACAAGAACTTATTAGGGGAAAAAAGATAAGGAACTTATTCGGTAAGAAACAAGAAACAAAACTCATTCGGGAAGAAATAAACAGTATCATTAGGGGAAAAAAGTAAACCATCCAAGAATCCTATAAAATCCAGACACGCACCCCACCACCCTCACCCCCCACCCAACCCCCAATGAACGCCCCTATTCCATCTTAACCCAGCCTAACCACACCCAACCCCTTCAAGTACAATGCACAAGCCCCAGACGCCCCTTCACGAGAATAAACCGTCCCTCTCCTTCAGGTACACGGACGAGCCCATCAGCAAGATCCTGTGCAACATCAGCGACGGCGAGGTCGTCTACCTGGATCGCTGGCGAGTCAACGTCGAGAAGAACACCGAGTGCGAGCCCACCGAGGACGGCAAGGACAAGCTGCCCCTCAACGTCGTCAATAATTACTTCTCCTTCGGCGTCGATGCGCATATCGCCCTCGAGTTCCACGAGGCCAGAGGTAAGGATGGGTTGAGGGGGAAGAGGGGAGGAGGAGAGGGAAAGGGGGACAAAGGGAGAGGGGAGAAGGGATAGTAGAGAGGGGTAGGGGGTTATAAGGAGAAGGGAGAAGGGATAGTAGAGAGGGGTTGGGGGTCAGAAGGGAGAGGGGAAGGGGGTCATACGGAGAGGGGAGAAGGGATAGTAGAGAAGGATAGGGGGTCAAAGGGGAGAAGGGTTAAATGGGGAATGGGAGGGGGAGAGGGGAAGGGAGTGAGAAGGAAAGGAGTGAGGGGTAGGGGCTTAAAAGGAGAGGGGAAGGGGGTCAAGAGGAGAGGGAAGAGGGATCAAATGGGGAATGGGAGAGGGGAGAAGGGAAGGGATGCGAAGAGAGGAGAATAGTGAGGAAGGGAAGGGAGGGTGGGTGAAAGGAGGGATGGAAAGGGAAAAGGAGGGAAGGAGGGAATGGATAAAAATAGGAAAGGGAAAGGAAGAAAGGTCGGGAAGTGGATGAGGAGAAGGAAGTAGGGGGAGAGGGGTAGAGTTGAGGCCAAACTTCCTTTAAGGCGCAGATGAGAGGTGAAGGGTTAGACTTCTTTTTCTTTTCTTTTTTTCGTCTCTTTTTTTGGAGATTGGTTTTTCGCTGGGGAACGTGGAGGGAAAGGAGAGGGAGAAGGAGGGAAGGAGAGAGGAAGGAAGGAAGGAGAGAGAAAGAAAAGGAAGGAGAGAGAGAGAGAGAGAGAGAAGGAAGGAAGGAGAGAGAAAGAGAGAGAGAGAAGAGGAGAGAGAGTGAGAGAGAAGGAAGAGAAGAGAGAGAGAGAGAGAGAGAAGGAGAGAAAGAGAGAGAGAGAGAGAGAAGGAAGAGAAAGAGAGGGATAGGAGAAAGGGAGACAGAAATATATAAATGAATAGAGAAAGAAATAGACGCAGGGAAGGAAGGAGGTTTGGCGAGGGCAGACGCGCTTGGATGATGGAAATCATTCCCTCGCCTCCATGAATGATCAGTTTTCAATTAATGGCGAGATATGGCGCGGCGCATGCAAACACTACACATCCGGGAATTAAACCATTTCCAATCACAGTCCGCGCCAACGGTACATCGCACTCACATCGGATCAGTGAAACATGTTACTTGCCCAGTGAGGAGTTCTGCTTTGTGGCGGCGTTGGTGTATAAACAAAACAAAAAAGAACAACACAAATAAATAGACAAAGGCTAAAAAAAAAAAAAAAAAGGCAACACAAATAGATAGACAAAGGTTAAAAAACAAAAAAAAAAAAATAGACAAAGGCTAAAAAAGGCAACACAAATAAGTAGACAAAGTAAAAAAGCAACTTAAATAAATAGACAAAGGTATAAAAACACACACATAAAGGAATTAGCCCGCTGCTGCTTTAACGTGTTCTAGACTTAATTCACTAAAGTTACAACATCATGAATATGAATGAGCTTCCTTACCTACGTGCGCCAGGAGAAACAGAGGTCAGTGGAGTGACCTTTTCCCGCAAACAGGCTTATCTCGCCCTTATGTTTTGTCGGTATCACTTGGCGAACTTGCAATTTGCACATCAAACTCACTCTTTTGCCAAACAGCACGCGCAAAATAGGAATTTACATATAGATTTTAGATGAGGGTGAGAGAGAGAGAGAGAGAGAGAGAGAGAGAGAGAATGAGTGAATGAGAGTGACAGAGAATGAGTGAGTGAGAGTGACAGAGAATGAGTGAGTGAGAGTGCACAAGCCCCTCTAATTACTCTCCCTGCCCACCCGCAGAGGCCAACCCACAGAAGTTCAACTCCCGTCTGCGAAACAAGATGTTCTACGGGCAGGCGGGCGGCAAGGACCTCCTGCAGCGTAAGTGGAAGGACCTCTCGGACAACTGCACGGTCGAATGCGATGGCAAGGACGTCACGCCCATCCTGAAGGAGCATAAGGTCCACGCCGTCGTCTTCCTCAACATCCCCAGGTGCGTTGGGGAGACACTTCGGGCTCGAAGGGGAGCGTAGGGAGGACAGAGAGGGTTGAATGGGCATGGAAGGGGAATTGGTGGGGGGTGAAGGGGAGATGCAGAGATCCTTGGAGAGTGAGGGTGAGTACGTAAGACTCTTGGGGACTGAAGGTGAGTTACAGAGACTATTAGGAACTAGAGGTGAGTTGATTGGGAGTGAAGGGGAGATGCAGAGACCCTTGGAGAGTGAAGGGGAGTTGGTGAGACCACAGGGGACTGAAGGTGAGTTGGCGAGACTAGGATTAAGGGTGAGTTAAAAAAAAAGTCCTGGATCTGACGGATTGCTCGGCCGGCTGTCGTTAATATAACTAGCTGGTTCGGATCGTAATTGGTTTGTGTTGTAACAAGGCGTTTTCTTAGGCATGATGAACGGTTTCCTAAAAAATGATAAACTAATCTTTGCTATTTTGTTGTATCAGAATATCAAAAGTTTTTTTTCCCCTCCGGTGAAATTCCATTGTAACATAGTTAATTCCTGAGTGTGCTGCTGTAAATATATGTTAATCCAAATCGTGACTAATTTTACTCTGCCATTGCTCGAAGGGTTTCAGCAACGAAAACGAAATTCATCCCATTGTTTGAACGGATACACTTACCTTCTCTTGTGTGAAATTAGATGATGAAGTGATTTCTAATATTTGTTCCAGTTTTGGATCAATTTGACCTTTTTTCTTCTGTATAATTACTGTGCATGAATTATTTCTGACGGGAAATGATATTATTCGGAGGCGACGTGAATTTTCTCCCGCGGGAAATTACAATAGATCACTCTGCAGCGAACATTACCATACGTCTTCGGAATAGATAGATATGATTTCATTTTTCCTCATGCGAAATTATCGACGTCTAAGTACGTGTCTCCTGAGTGGATATAAATTAACTTTTTCCCTTATTCATTCCACTCCTTGTTCATGCCTTTCCCCTTGTTCATCCGTTTCCATTTGTTCATTCCACATCTTGTTCAACCGTTTCCCTTTGTTCATTCCACTCCTTCATTCCACCCCTTGTTCATTCTTTCCCCTTGTTCATTCCACCCCACAGCTACGGATCCGGAACTCGGCCGTGGAACAGAGGCAGCGGCATCGATCAGGCTACTGACGACGGTATCATCGAAGTCATCGGCTTAACCACTTACCAGATGGTTAGTTCACTTCCGGTCTGCGTTGGGAAAGAGATTGGCGTGACGGTTCAACTTCTGGGTGTTTAGGACAGTAATGTGTGTACTTGGAACAGTTGGGTGTATTAGCCGGTGTGATTTTGGGTGTATTTGGAATGTATTGAGTAGAATGAACTCAATAGAATTAACTTGGTAGAATTAAGAGTTGTAATGTGGGTGTTTAGAGCAGTTGGGCATATTGACGAGTTTGATTTTGGGGGTACTTGGAATATATTGAGATTAGTAGAATTAACGCAAGGTGTTAAGAACAATAATTTCGGGACTTAGATCAGTTGGGTGTGATGTTTGAGGTAATGTATTGAGGATTGAGTAGCATGACCTCCAGGTATTAAGAACAGTAATATGTGTGCTTAAAAAAGTTGGATACATTAGCTGGTGTGAATTTTGGGTGCTTGAAATGTTTTCAGGATTGAGTAGTATAAACTGCTGGGTGTTTTATCGGGATTTTATTTAAAGTTTGGGTTTTATAAATAATTGGGAACACTAATTGAAGAAAATTGTGGGGCATAGGAAATTGTTAGAGGTTATGTACTGAGACTATGATAGATAGTGAGTATGTGGATATTATCAAACTTTGGGTAATAAGAAATATGAAATATATCAAGTAGGAAATCATGCACACATAGGTATCATTATGCTAAGAAATTTATACCATTTATTCCCACAAATTTAACAATGGTTTTGCTAAAAAAGATACACCTATCAATAACGGAACTCCCCCCCCCAAAAAAAAAAAAAAATAAATAAATAAAAATAATAAAATGATAGTGATAATAATAATAATAATAATAACTCCGCTACCTTTCTTACCTCCACCCCCACCTCCTCACCACCCACCTCTCTGCCCCTCCCACTACCCACCTCCCCTGCCCTCCCCCACCACCTCCTCGATCCTTCCCTCCCAACAGCCTCTTCTGCAAGCCGGAGGACACGGCACCACCATCTGCCAGTGCAAGAGTGCCAAGATCGTCACCAAGAAGACGATCCCGATGCAGGTGGACGGCGAGGCGTGCAGAGTCAACCCCAGCATCATCGAACTCACTCACCTCAACAAGGCGTCGATGGTGACCAAGAAGAAGGCCAAGACCGTGCAGTGAGTTTGGATTTCTCTCTTCTCTTTCTTTTCTCTTTCTCTTCTCCTCTTTCTCTCTCTTTCTCTTTCTCTTTCTCTCTTTCTCTCTTCTCTCTCTCTCTCTCTCTCTCTCTCTCTCTCTCTCTCTCTCTCTCTCTCTCTCTCTCTTCTCTCTCCTCTCTCTCTCTCTCTCTCTCTCTCTCTTCTCTCTCTCTCTCTCCTCTTCTCTCTCTCTCTTCTCTCTTCTCTCTCCTCTCTCTTCTCTCTCTCTCTCTCTCCTCTCTCTCTCTCTCTTCTTCTCTCTCTCTCGTCTTCTTTTTCTCTTTTTTTTTTTTTCGTTTTCTCTTTTTTCGTTTGGTATGTGTAAGGAATATATTTGTTAATTGGCTGATATTCGCGATTGTTTACCGTCTTTTCAAATCTTAACCGATTTTGCGGTACACTAAAACATTCAGTATTTCTGTGAGAATATATATGTATATATAGACAGACAGACAGACAGACAGACAGACAGGCACAGACAGAGACAGACAGATAAATAGATTTAGATATATATAGATGTATGTACATAAACAGCACTTCTTTCCCCACCACGTCCTCCATGCAATTCTGTTCTCCCCCAGGATGCCTCACCTGGAGCAGCTCCGCCTACAAGTGTCAAGGATAACCATGTTTGACTACGAGCAACATCACTACGACAAGGAGAAACTGCGCCAGGCTTCCTCGCCGCTTGGGTTGATTATGATAGACCAAGACGCTGATCTCGAACAGGTAAGGGAGGAGGAGAGAGAGAGAGTGAGGAAGGTGGGGGAGATGGGAGAGAGGGGGTGGATGAGAGAGAGGAGAGAGAGAGAGAGAGAGAGAGAGAGAGAGAGGGGGGGGGGATAGGAGAATGGGAGAGAGAGAGGGTGGATGAGAGTGGGAGAGATATGAGAATGGGAGAAGAGGAGGTGGAGGGAATAGGAGAATGGGAGAGGAAGGGTGGATGAGAGTGGGAGAGAGAGAAGTGGGGGAATGGGAGAATAGGACAGGGAGGGTAGATGAGACTGGGAGAGTGGGAGATAGAGATATAGAAGAGGGAGGGTGGAAGAGAGTGGGAGAGAAGGTGGACGGAATAGACGGATGGGAGAAGTAGGGTGTAAAAGAATGGGAGAGAGAGAGGTGGACAGAATAGGAGAGGGAGAATGGGAGATATAGGATAATAGAAGAGGGAGATTTTAAGAGAGTGGGAGAGAGAGAGGTGGAAGGAATAGGAGAATGGGAGGGGGAGGTGTGAGAGGAATGTGGGAGAAATAGAAGGAGAAAGAGAATGGATGAGAGCTGGAGGGAGATAGGAGAATAGGAGAGGGATGGTAGAAGAGAGTGGGAGATATAGGAGAGGGAGAGAGGGGAGGTGGAGAGAATAGAAAATTAGGAGAGGGGAGGGGGAGAGGGGCGAGGGAGATGGAAAGGAGAGGAAGTAGGAGGGAGAGAGAGAGAAGAAGAATAGGAAAGTGAGGCCGGAAGAGAGTTGGGGGGAGGGGAGGGAGAAAGGGGAGTGGGAGAGAAGGAGATAATAGGAAAGGGAGGGTGAGGGGAGAGGGAGGGCGGTGAAGAAGAAAGAGATGAGATGGAGAAGAACAGGGAGAATGGGTTCAGTGTGTATGTGAGTTTGTGTCTGTATCGGTCTGTAAATGTGCACACGGACCTACGTATCACGAGGCGAAACCAGCCACCGTGCAAAGAAACCCGAATGGATCTTTGCCGTTCCTTTTCACCCGGAGGGAAACGAGCTTATTGAGAAAAAAAATAAATAAAAAAAATCCCTGCCAAACGGGAAACATAGAGGAAACTAATCCGAACCTCTAATTATGCTTCTGGGGGAAAAAAAGGAGAGAAGTCTGGGAATTGAAGTAAAGAAGGAGGAAGGAAATATAGTCAAAGAAAGAGTAAGAGGATCGACATTAAGCAAAGAGTTCCACGGCCATGGCAGAATGATCAAAGGATACCCGAGGATGGAAGAGGCTGGACACACGTCATCTGTGGGAGAG